CTCTGCGCTCCTTGGGGCAGGCAATGTGTCAGTAAGCATGCATTCCACTTCAAGCGCAGAAAGCCCAGCTGAAAGTGACTTACCAGCAGAGACGATGGATAAAGGTGAGGGGAATGTAGTCAGTATTGTGAGGAGTCTGCACATTGACAGATGATTACCAGACGGAGTAACCCCATTGTAAAGTGTATCTCAAACCACCATACTTTACAACTGAAACTGATATGACATTGTATGCCAACTACACATAAAATTTAAAAAATTTAATATGACTAGATTCCTCATGCCAATTTTAACAGGTTTGCTTCTATCAGGTAAAAGGGAAGGCCAAGGGTTCGGGGGAAGAGGAGCCCACCTCCCAGAGCTTATGCGGAACAGGTACTAACACTGCACATGGTGTTTACAATAAGCCTTTGCAGGGCTTTGCCTGTCTTTCGGAAGACAAATCACACGTCCACTCCCACACAGAGGTGCCTTATTACCATCTCCTTCAATGCATTGTTTTCTGCTCCGCGTCCACAAACCCAACTCAGACTGCCTGTGTTTTTCTTTTCCACTGGATTCCCTTGCTTTATGACATCCGTTTAGACCTAACTTTCTTTCCTTCCACCCGAAAGTCCAAAACCCCCAGTCGGACATCTGTAAGGAGTGTACATGTGTTTGCACAGACTCGCGGTGCTCCTTAGGAACTATACAAATTATCAACCAGAAACAGATCGAGGCCTTTCAGAATTTTTTACTTTCATTGAGGCTTGTGTTTACATTTTATTTTAAGTGCTTTCAAGCGCATTCTCTTGAAGTACCTTGCCTTACCAGGAGCCCTGCTTGTTTGTTCTTATTGCCTCCTTCATTCAGAAGAACCATCAATCATTTTATGAAACAAAGCAGCTTTTGTGCACAATCAAAAGCTACCACATCACAGTTGATGGCAAGAGAATGCGGTGGGCATTGTTGTTTGTGCACAGGCCTTCATCTCTTTGAGAAGTTCCTCTGTGTGAAATGAATGAGACAGACTACAGCAGTGGCTTCAAAAGCAACTATCCTCCAGGATTTTTTGTTGAAAGTCTCATGCAGCACTGTTATTAGAAAGTAAAAATAATAAATAAAAGGCAAAGCTGAAGCAGACTACAGGTTTCCCACACGAGAGACTCACCTGGCCTCAACCAGGCTCTGTGGCTGGACGCTTGCCTTTACTTTATAGAAATGGGTCCGCAAGGTTAACATGAAAGAGGCTGTTTATTTTTCACCCAGTGATTATGCATAAAAATTACGTAAACTTCCCTCACCAACAGCCCAGCCCAAAAGTATGACAGGCTCACCTTTTTGCTGGTGCCTCTTACAGGTGTTATTGCTAGTTGGAGTAGAGCTGCCATCATTATTGTTGCCATGGTTACAGCTTCTGGAACAGGGGACTGGCTGAACCTTGGCCCAGGTCTTCCGCCCTGCTACCATCCCCTCTGTAGCAAAAGGCCTCCTTATTTCTTGATCCATTTTGTGTTTGGCTGCAATGCTGGAGAGCAGAGTTTTCTGTGATAATTCACGTGCCCTCTGCAGAGTCTTAATGACCCTTAATGTTGATGAGCGAGGGCCTAAAGTCTTGGGTTAGTTGAAAAGTTAAAAAAGGATCAGAACTCATAGAGATCACCCTAATAATTGGCTTGAGGGTCATCACCTTCAACTTTTATTTGCAGAGGGTTCGGAGTGATGGCTTGAGGGTTCAGAGCCAAACACCTGGCCCATGACTGTGGCGTGAGAAGGACAATACAACATGCATTTGATGTGTGACTTCATTAACAAATTCGCCTTTTTTTCCCCACCCTATCTTCCCTACCTAAATTTTCTTTTTAATATGTCTTGCATCATTTGTGTCTTCTTTGTTTTTTGTTTTTAGGGAAAAAATTAACTGTCGTTATTTTCCTAAGTATATTTTATTGATTGTGCTATTACAGTTGTTCCATATTTTTTCTTTCCTTTATTCTCCTCCAGCCTGCTCCCCCTCCTACCAGCACTGCCCCACCCCTTAGTTCATGTCCATGGGTCATACATACAAGTTCTTTGGCTTCTCCACTTCCTATACTATTCTTAACCTCCCTCTGTTTATTTTGTACCTACCATTTATGCTTTTTATTCCCTGTACCTTTCCCCCCATTCTCCCCTCCCTCCCCAGTGATAACCCTCCGTGTGTTCACCATTTCTGTGATTCTGTCCCTGTACTAGTTGTTGGCTTAGTTTGTTTTTTGGGGTTTTTTTTTAGATTCAGTTGTTGATAGTTATGAGTTTGTTGTCATTTTACAGTTCATAATTTTGATTTCTTCTTTTACTTAGATAAGTCCTTTTAACATTTCATATAATAAGAGCTTGGTGACTATGAACTCCTTTAACTTGACCTTATCTGGGAAGTACTTTATCTGCCCTCCCATTCTAAATGATAGCTTTGCTGAAGAGAGTAATCTTGAATGTTGGTCCTTGCATTTCATGACTTGGAATACTTCTTTCCAGCCCCTTCTTTCCTATAAGGTCTCTACTGAGGAATCAGCTGATAGTCTTATGGAAACTCCTTTTTGTAAGTAACTGTCTCCTTTCCTCTTGCTGCTTTTAAGCCTCTCCCTATCTTTCATCTTGGCTAAATGTAATTATGATGTGCTTTGGTGTGTACTTCCTTGGGTCCAACTTCTTTGGGACTCTCTGAGCTTCCTGGATTTCCTGGAAGTCTCTTTCCTTTGCCAGAATGGGGAAGTTCTCCATCATTATTTGTTCAAATAAGTTTTCAATTTCTTACTCTTCTTCTTCTCCTTCTGGCTCCCCTATGACTTAGATGCTGAAATACTTAAAGTTGTCCTGGAGGTTCCTACATCTTTAAACATTCCAACATCCGAATTATAGGGGCACCAGAAGGGGAAGAGCAACAAGTAGAAAACTCATTTGAACAAATAATAAAGGAGAACTTCCCCAATCTGGCAAAGGAAATAGACTTCTAAGAAGTTCAAAGAGCTCAAAGAGTCCCAAAGAAGGTGGACCCAAGGAGGAACACACCAAGGCACATCATAATTACATTAGCCAAGATTAAAATAAAGGAGAGAATTCTAGAAGCAGCAAGAGATAAGAGGACAGTCACCTACAAAGGAGTTCCCATCAGACTATCAGCTGATTTTGCAAAAGAGACCTTGTGGACAAAAAGGGGCTGGAAAGAATTATTCCAAGTCATGAAATCCAAAGACCCACATCCAAGATTGCTCAATCCAGCAAAGCTTCCATTTAAAATGGAAGGGCAGATAAAGTGCTTCCCAGATAAGGTCAAATTAAAGGAGTTCATCATCACCAAGCCCCTATTATATGAAATGTTAAAGGGACTTATCTAAGAAAAGAAGATAAAAAAGATGAACAGTGAAAGGACAGCAAACTCATACTTATTAACAACCTCACCTAAAACAACAGCAAACTAAGAGGACAGCTAGATCAGGAGCAGAGCCACAGGAATGGAGATCACATGGAGGGTTAGCAACAGGGGAGTGGGAGGAAAAGAGGGGGGAGAAGGTACAGAGAATATGTAGCATAGATGGTGGGGAGAAAATAGACAGGGGGAGGGCAAGAGTAGTGTGGGAAATGTAGAAGCTAAAGAACTTATGACACATGGACATGTACTAAAGGGGGGAATGTGGGTGTGCAGGGTGGAGGGGAATGAAGGGGGGAAATAGAACAAGTGTAATGGCATAATCAATAAAATATATTATTAAAAAATAAATAAATAAACAAAGTTGTCCTGAAGGTTCCTAAGCCTCTCCTCATTTTTTGAATTCTTATTTCTTCATACTGTTCTGGTTGAATATTTATTTCTCCCTTCTGCTCCAAATCATTGATTTAATTCTCAGTTCCCTTCCCTTCACTGCTGGTTCACTATATATTTTTCTTTTATTTCACTTTTCATGGCCTTCACTTTTTCCTCCATTTTGCAACCATACTTAACCATTTGTGTGAGCATCCTAATTACCAATGTTTTGAACTCTGCATCTGATCTGTTGGCTGTTTCTTCATTGTTTATTTCTATCTTTGGAGCTTTGATCTGTTCCTTCATTTGACCTATATTTCTTTGTCTCAGTGTACATTGTAACATTACATTGTAAGGGGTGGAGGCTTATGTATTCACCATCCTGGGGCAACCCACTTGGCTACATTGTGATGCTGTGTGTGGGGGTGGGGTCTGAGAGGGAACAATGCTGCTTGTTTGGTTCTCTGCCAGCTTTCAGTCACTTTCCCCACTACCCACAAGCAAATTGGGCCCTTCTGGTGCTGATTTCTGGGTGGGTGGGTTTGTGTACATTCTAGGACCCTGGGGGCCTCTCCAATGAACTCTCCTGTGAGGCTGGGAGTTTCTCCTTCCACCACAACCCCTATGGGTTTTTACAGCCTGAGGTTTTGAGGCTTTATTTCCCTGTACTGGAACCCTGGGTTGTGTGGTCTGTCTTGCTCCCCAGTTGTTCCTGCTGGTTTATCTGCACACAAAGGCCGTTTGGCCAGCCGCTGCCTTGCCTGCCTGGTCTTCCAGCCACCACCCTGCCATGTGTCCTTTCTGCCCTGTCCACCCATCTCTGCCCCTCCTACCGGTCTGGATGAATGCTTCTTCTTTAACTCCTTGGTGGTTGGACTTCCATACAGTTCAATTTTCTGGCAGCTCTGGTTATTTTTTGTTTTAAAATTTGTTGTTGTCCTTCTTTTGGTTGTCCGAGGAGGCAAAGTGTATCTACCTATGCCTCCATCTTCTGTTTGTATCTTTAAAAAAGTTGCCTTAAAGCCTTTCGAAGCAAGGATAAATAGAAAATATAAATATATCCCTCAGAAATTCACTGCATTCTTGCTATTAGGATGTGGGGGAAGCACAAATGCTTTTTTTCCATGAAGGGAAAACTGCATAATGCAAATCACCTAAAACATTTTTGTGTGAAAATCTAAATGGAATAATGTAAATGTATATTTTCTGTTGAAGAAAAAATGTATATTTACACATGGTACTTGCGTTAGCGGCACATACAATAAAATTGGAACTATATAGAGAAGATCAGCATGGTCTCTGGTAAGGGACAACACGCAAACTCACAAAGTGTTTCACATGTTCAGATGCTGGTCAAAGAGTACAAATTCCCATCTAGACGAGTCGCAGACCTAATGTACAGCATGGTAACTGTGGTCAGCAATACTGTGTTATATACTTGTTTTTTAAGACAATAGATCTTAAATGTTATCACAAAATGTAATACACAAAAAATTATATATGTGAAGGAATGAAGGGGCTAACAAACCTTACTGTAGTAATCATTTTGCAAAATATACATGTATATACATCATATTGTACAACTTAAACTTACAAATATTACATGATTGGATTCGAGAAAACTGAGATTTCTGGCACAAGGGAGCAATAAGAACAGGGCACTCCTAGCCCCCATCAGCAAGCCCCCTAAATAATTGGGGGACTGCTATGTGAAGTCCCTCTGGGATGACTCTTCAGAAGCCTGGGGTGGGCCGCGTGCGGTCATGCCATTCCACCAGGGAGATGCTGCGAATCCCAGTTTCTTGCACACTGTAGAAGCTTTACAAATACATGCTGAATAAATGGTAAAGATATGTTTAAAAAATTATAGCTATGTGCTAAATGAGTTTGTGGATAATCCTCAAATTAATCCATACAGAGGTGATTTAGTGGCACCCAGCAAAGTGGTTGCCATAAAGGGCTTTAGTCCTTTTAAACCTCTCAACAACACTTTGAAGTAAAGGTTTTTATCTCCACTTTTTTTCAGATTCATTTAGGAAAGGTTAAATAATTTGTGCAGGACTACATAAGTAGTAAGTAAAAGGCCAAGGATTTGAGCCTAGAGTTGTCTAATTCTAAAAACAGACTATTCCCTCATTCTCTTCCAATATTTCCCCAAGTGTGTTCAATGTTAAGGACTCATATCTGAGGTCCCATCCTAGATTTACTGTATCTGAATGTCCGGGGAGAGACTTAGAAGCATATGTTTAACAAGAGATAAAATGATGATTATTATCAGATAGGTTTAAGAAAACCACTCCATTGCATTAGGTGGGGACCCATATCTTCCTCTTGGTGATCAAAGAGAAGCCATCAGAGATTTGAAGCCATCAACTAAAAACAAGTCCTGTCACCCTAGAGTTCATCCCATTTTAATATATTATAGATTACGATATTTATTCTTCAGTTTGGAGAATTGTCTGATTTAAGGTTATCTGGATTTGAAAATTTCAAGACCATTTTAGAATGTTAAAAATGGGCCACAGTCTAAACCTCAGACTTTTCAGCTCTCCTCTCTGTCCCTCTTTGGTCCTCAGGAGCAGAAGTGAGTGACAATTCTGTTTCACTCCCAGCAGCTTCCCTGGAGCAGAGGTTCCAGACCTGCAGGGCCTGGAGGACCGCTGGAGGGGGAGCCACGGGTGAGAGTCAGTGTTCATGCCTGGTTGCCCACCAGATGGCTTTCATTGGATGAGCAGGTTACCCAACCCAGGAAGCAGAAAAATCCATCAGTGCTTGTTTTGTTTTCCTTAGTTTCAGGGTTTCCCACGCGGGCTGAGCCAGCTAAGCCTGCATCTTCAATACCCATCATGACAGCAAACAACTGATTTGTACAACCGAAATGCTTAATTAACTAAATGGAAAGCAAGGCAGTGACTCCTGCCACGGCTGAATTTAAGTCACGCTGTGAAACTCCACAGTGCAGTCGGCAGTAAAGACGGAGGAGCCAGACTGAAACTTGAGGGGTGTGGACCACAGCTTCACAGCAGTTTTATTGTAAGTTATTCCCATTATCTCAGAGAGAAAGCTGAGACAAGGTTAGAGAAAATGTGGAGCTGATTACCCCCATTTCAAGCAAAGGTTTGTGTTTTAAGGAGCTTGCTTTATATACTACTGCCAAGAAATGTTTTGAATGATACTTCCAGGTATGATTTCTATAACACTAAATAATGACAACTGCCTTTTTACAAATAATAGTTTAATATGCCTCTATTCTGCAGTGTTCTTCATCTCATTTACTCTTCACGATAACTCTGTGAGGGTGGTGCTCTTACTAACAGAATTTTAGAGGTGAGGAAACAGATAACTTCCTCAGTCAAGGGACGTAACTTGCAGACCATGCAGTCAGGAGCTGAGGGGTCATCTCACATCACTTGGACTATCCTCACCCCAGTGGATCCACGCTTTCAGGCCACTCATTTTTCCAAAGACAAATTCTCATATCGATCAAAACATAACACCCAACAATAGGTTTGTTGCTTAAAAATAGGTATCTACAACAAAAAATGCTAAAAATAAAAAAATTATTGTAGAAACTCATACAAGAAAAAACTTGAGAAAGTTGGTAAAGTTGATATCATATAAAAGAGATTTTAAAGCCAAAAAGGTGGAGGGAGGATTCAAAGAAGCTCTCGATTATGATAAAAAATGTATGAAATCAACAGTGAGGACATGGATTGCCAAAGTGAGCAATGCAAAGAGAAATAAAATGAACTAATTAAAAAAACAATTGAAATGGGAAGAGTCATTCATTATCAGGCCAAGACAAAAATTAGACAATCTTAAAAATTAAGTAGATTTAGAAGATATTGAAGATGTGACAAACAATAGATACAAATTTGAAAAATAACAGAGGTTATAAATATAATTAATACAAATTATGAATACAGTTAATAAGTTAGAAGCAGCAGACATTATTCAGCTCAATGACACATGACTATCCATTTTTTTCAATGTACAGGACATTGGTGCATATATACTAACTCTCAAATAAGGCACCAAAAGTGAATCAAGAGGAAAACTATATAGATATATTTTCTCACCACAGTGAAATAAAACTAAATGTTAATGGTATAAGTAAAAAACTGTAAAGGGGCCCTGGGAAAACAGTGATCTGATCTACAGACTTGGAGACAGACAGCTCGGAGTTTGGATTGTAGCTCTACCCCTTACTGCTGTGTGACCAAGGCAATTTACTGAACCTCTCTGAACCTTGGATTTTTCACCTAAAAATAGCTCTACTTTGCAAGTTGTTATAAACTATAAAGTATGTAAAATAATATAATACTAAAACTGAAAATAAAGCTAAAACCACACATCATGCGATAGGAAGCCATTTCTGTAATATGTTCATATTTTATTTAACTAGACAAAAAGTTCTGATTTTTGTTGATTGAAAACAAAAGTCTAGAAACCATACGCCTAAATACTAACAGTAGTTATCTCTGTGCACCGAGGTATCTGGTGAATTTTGTTATTTTGCCTTATTTTTCTACTAAGAGTATATAATAAGTGTACAGTAAACCAATAATAAATGTGAAATTAAGTATAAACTTCTTTAGAACATAATATAAAAATATAAACATTAATATATTGAATGCTCTATTGGTGGCAGCTACTATAAACAAGTAACCATTTCTGTTGTCGCCACTGTCATCATTATTGCAGATCCTAAAGTACTCTCAGTTTCGCTTCCTTTCTGTGTGTGTATGTGTATGATACACAGTATATATACATGTTAAAAATAAATATACAGCCCTGGCTGGTGTGGCTCAGTGGATTGAATGCAGCTCTGTGAACCAAAGGGTCGCTGGTTCGGTTCCCAGTCAGGGCACATGCCTGGGTTGCAGACTAGGTCCCCAGTGAGGGGTGTGTGAAAGGCAACCACACACTGATGTTTCTCTCCCTCTCTTTCTCCTTCCCTTCCCCTTTCTCTAAAAATAAATAAATAAAATCTTAAAAAAAAACATAAAATAGATATAAACATACATTTCAATTAATTTCCATTTTAATTATACAGCTAAATATAAATTATATAAACATTTATATAATATATAGTATAGTATATATAAAACACAATATTGAGATACCTGACAATTTAAATATGAACTATATAATTAGATAATCATATCAATATAAACTCTTCCAATTTTCATAACTGCTAAATTTCTTGATTTTTATAATAGAAATTATCTTAGGAAATATACATTGAAGTATTTAGGTAAGTAGGTATGTATATCTGCAACTTACTCTCAAGAGTTCAGAAAAAAACTCCTATAGAGAGAGAGAATGAGAGATACAGTAATCAGGGGAAACTAGAAACACAGAAACTGCAACCAAATAGTCACTCTGGGTAAAGGCTGTACAAGAGTTCTTCATACTGGTCTTTTAATGTATTTGTAATTTTAAAATGATATAAAAATGAGCATTTACAACCACCAGAAACAAATAAATGGGTGACAACTGCTAAAAACAGCAACAAAAATTCTCCTAAGCAACAGAGTTAAGTAGAAAACAAGAACATGATAATTACTTTGGAATATTATAAAACTGAAGACACCACCTATTAAAAGTGAGGAGTGTGTAAACAAATCAAGGCCTAAAGGTAAAGATGTAGATGCATTTTAGCAACATGAAATAAGTAAACTAAGCACTAGATTTAAAATCTTATAGAAAGAAGAGAACCAACATAAGGGAAAATAATAAAGATGAAGAACAGAAATAAATAAACCAGAAAACAGAAAGTCAGTGGGCATAAATAAATTAAAATGCTCATTTTCTGAGATTACCAGATATATTAAACCCCTTGGCAATATAACACATAAATGAAATAGTATAAATCAACAAAATTAAAAACCAGACTGGTAATTTAACAACTGATATAAAGGATTTTAAAGTATAAATGATTATAATGCACAATTTATGATAATTGATTCAAAATATTTAGCCAAATGGGCAATACAAAATATAAAGTATAAAACTGGCAAAACAAGATGTAGGAAACATAAACAATATGATGAAGGTGAAGAAAGAAATTTGAGAAAGTTATTAAAGAAATACCTTATCTACCAAGACAAATATGATGTAAACAAGTTTACTGAACAATATTTCTATGTATTCAAGAAACAATTGTCTTCATATCATGTAATCAGTTCCAAATAGTGAAAAAATAAGACATGATAGCCAGTTTCCCCGAGAGAGAAGTATTATGCTCATCCACAAACCTGTGAAAAACACCACAAATGCACACAATCCCCTCAGGATGACAAAGATGCACACATGCCAGTTCCAGTAAAACTGGTTTAAAA